AGTGCCTATCTGATATTTTTTACTTAAAAGAATTTTAAAAAGTTAACAATTAATCTATGTACTAATTAAATATCATAATATAAGTTTTCAGAGAATTACTTAAATGAGCATACAAAATAATTAATAAAGGTCCCAAACTTTCAAAAATATAGCAAGTTAAATAACATAGGTCCTAAAGTTTCCAAACTCTAGGAAATCGAGTAACAAATTTCTTCTTAATTAATAATGTTTAACAAATCCACTTCGTCCTTGGTACTCTAAGATGGAATTCAAACCCACGACCTTTTGCAATACGGAAAAATCTTCTAACGATTGAGTTACACAGAACCTAACAGACTGACGAATTCTTCAAGAACTTGTTTCTTTTACGCTACTACAGAGCGTATTTTCATCAATGTTCAGATAATCCACTCAAATTTTCGATATAGATGAAAAGTTTATATCACATTTGATGATATACTGGAAATATTCTTATTCCATAAATGAGTTCACGTAGACTATTGATGCAGCCGATTTTTTTTACTAAATATAAGTGTTATAAGATTGTCATAAGGATGTGTTGGTTACGATTAAACAGTAATGTTCACAAAACATGTTATTGTGTGAAGCGAGACGCAAAGGAAAACGACCTTCCTGGGCCTCAATTCTGCTAATGCTATAGTAGGTAATTATGGTATACCAATGCCGTTCCAAATAACATCTCTTTTTAAACAGGTATATTAACTAGATTACATTACTTACAAATTATCTGTTACCGCTGATTAATCAAAATGCCATTGTACTAATATCAGGCTGCCAGTAAGTAATTATTGGTATATTACGATTAATTGAGTCGCCATAAAGATGCCATTATTTCGTCAACATTAAGTTGAAGTGCAGCAGTTTCGATCCTATATTATGATTGCGAGCACCGACCGAAGATAATGATTAAGAATAATATTGGTTCTGATTGGAAAAATTTAAATATAAGCATTTATGATAAGACTTTGAACATAAGTGGTTAAAAATAATGGAACAGGATAATTTTGTACACGTTTATTTTTGCGTATCCTCGTATAAGAGTTACATTAGTCGAATAAGAGCTCAGTAATATGTCTACTTTATCTTATGAAAAATTATTAAAAAATTCAACCGCCCGATGGTGCCCAAGATAGGATCCTGGGGTTGGGATGGGTTTTGTGTGTATAGTTAAAAGGAATTAATGTTTAACACGGTATTTTAAAAATCCGAGGTCATGAAAATTTATAAGTAATACTTATCTCAAAAGCTATTCATATGTTCATGTAATTTGTTTTGAAGTCGGGCGGTTGATATTATAATAATATTTACAAACCATCGCCCGAGAGGCCATGTAGGTACTGTCGAGTTTTCTATTTTATTTTATTATTTTAGTGATTATATATTTAAAAAAATTACGTTTACATACCAAAATGTTACGCTATTTTGTTTACTTCAACAGTAAAAAACCTACCAAGTTATCATATAAATGTAAGCCCTAGTCTTCTCCTTCGGTATAGTAAAAGTACTTATATTGACAGTAGCTTAAGTTTTTTTATATCAGATTAGTTTGTAGGAACTTTCTCTACCCTTAATGGTCACGGGTTTTTTCATAATGAAACATTTCAGTGACTCATGCACGTGAATCATCGTCTATGCAGCTTACGTTTGATCTTTTTATCTATCTGTTTGCCATTTGATATTTAAGTTGTAAGTAAATCAAAAGCAGCTAATATTTAAGAAGCAAATTGAACTCTATTATATGAACACATTCAGTCGGTGATTTTAAATAAATAATTTCATAGAATCGCCTGCAAGTTAATGCTGTGTACAAAAATTGCAGTTTTAAAGAAAATTTGTCATTAAAGTAAATGCTTCCACTAATTATGTATGGTATTTAGTTAAATAGGTATCTATTAATTATCACGCTCATTAAAATTCGGAACATAAGTTGTATAGACAATTATGGTGCTACTAAGCTTTTTATTTTCGTTCGTTTTTAGAAATCCTTAATTTTATAGATAGATAGAGATAGAGTTATATACAGTAAATATACAGAATATGACATGACATTAATAAAAAATAAAAATATGTAATCATCTTCTCATTTTCTCACTTTAAATAACGTGTTAGCAATTATTTTTCCGAATTCAAAAAATTGTGTTTTAAATTTGGAAACAGATTCCGAAACTGTATTTACTTACATTAGCGTTTTATGAAAAATTTCTCTACAAATTTAACATATCATTTATATTTCGGAAGGCATGTACTTATAACTTTAACGAACAGATACATAGAATTTGTTTACGACACCGTCGTTGATTAGTATATAAATTAAGGTCGCAAAAAATTCGTTCAATTAAAAAGACATTATCATAATAGTTGTTTTCTTAATGTGAAACACGAAAAAATATAAATAAATATATAAATTTTTATGTTTTGCTGACATGTATAAGACTTCATTAATTTAATAAGTATTTTTTCCTGGCTAAACTGATTTATTGTTATTTTTATGGCACGTATAATAATACTTTGATGACTTTAATGTTTTAATCATATTTGATCAATTTTGCATTCATAATTCTATACTGAAAAATAGTTTTTTTACAGAGGTTGATTGTGAAATAGTGTAAAAATGCCCGTAAATCCCATCAACTTTGACTGACGACGTCTCGAGATGTAGTCTGACTTACCCAAAGGAGCAGGAGGGAAATAAAACAGAGGTAAAGGACGGTTTAATTGAAAAACTGAAGGAAGACAGAAGACAGAGAAATGAAAGGAAAAAGGGACAGTGGTGAAGAGAAAATTGTAAAAACAGGGAGTTATTTGGTTATATAAAAAAGGGTTTTTAAATTTGTGAAAATTGTAAACAATAAATAAATGCATAAAAAGTAAACTAAAAACTATAAAAAAATGTGTGTTGTATAAAAAATAATCACTACATACAATTTCGTTAATTATATATACACAGGAAAGTGGCAAACGTTTACGGCCAACACTAGACATGATTGTGATAGAAATATCTAATTTAAAGCCTCGAAAATTTGGCTTATTCTTGAAACATCAATATCACACTCTGATTGTAAGCAGAGAAAGTCCCAAGTCAAAGATTATCATAAAGTTAAAAAAAAATTGACTCTCTGTTAACATTGAATGTACTCCGATCCAATTTTAAAAATGTTTCCATATACATCTGATCTGCTGCAACTAAAGCTAGATTTATTAAATTTAGATATATCATTTGCTTCTATCACTCTAATGTAAGTATCGATTCTTTTGAGAGAACAAATAAACACTATCGTTATCATGTTGTTTTCGAACTCAAAGGGACAGAGCGTGGTGATAAGAGAACTATTTGGCGAAGGCACTCGTTAAATGGGCGTCTTAACAAAATTAATTTTTGTTTCAAATTAAACGTGAACAAAGAAATAAACTCCATTTAACTATGATTATAAAAAAAAAAAACTGGCCAAGAGCCAATAGATTTTTTTTTTAATATATATTTCATGCAATCTGAAAAGTAAATAATATATATTTTGAATTAACCACGTTAAGCCCTTTCATATGACACATTAATTGAACACGATTGAACTGTAGCTTCAATTTTAAACTTTGGTCAGACTACTATATTTTTTACGATTTATTACAAATGCATAGATTTGAGAATTTTCCTAGAACTTGTGCAATAAATTATGGTAAATTTCATAGTTCTAGGTTCTCTTTAGTTCAAGAAATACGTCTCTTTCTCATTGAACTGCTTGTTGATTTTGCCCCTTTTTCCTTTTAATCTTTAAGTGCACTCTTAATACAACTGTACGCGTGACTCATGGTTTGTTGCCTCATTGGGCACAGTAGATATACATATAAACAATCCCCCCTAAGACTGCGTTATTAACTGGTTATCCCTGAGGTATCTACTTATATTTGCGTACTATAATTTATTTCGAATTCGTAAATTAGTTCAAATATAAAAGTGATATATGGTGTTATCAAAGTAAAATCCGTTTTGTGTAGGTTAAATTCAAATACTAAAACCTTCAAAACGTACCTAAGGATAATGTAGAGTTTAAAATATTACTCACATTAATGTTAACACTGTTATGGATTGAAAATATCTAAACATAAACTCATAAAATATTACTGTTGCTACATATAACGGTAACCAAACAACTTGAGCCAAAGAAATATCATTTCTAACAATTGTATTATATTCCAGAATGTAGCAGTTTTGTCAGGTAGAGAAACTAACGAAATGTATAAAAAATTGGGTCGCTCTCACTATTTGCAGGTAAAATGCATAAGCATGGGCGTTTTAAATAGGTAGATATTGTCAGCTCTATGTTGTTTTGCTGACAAATTCTCGTGTAGATTTAATTGAAACAATCAATTTTTATTGCATCATTAATGAATAATTTAGTTATTACATAACTAACTTATTCTTTGCAACATAACATGCGTGTTATTGAACGCTCAAAAAGATAATGCAATCGAAATATCTTCAATTCGACATCATCACTAATAAAACTCTACATTTATCTAAAAGATAGGAGGTACACATGGAAATTTAATAGAGGCAACGTAACATTGCTGTTAGTGTAAAGACATTTCTCAACAACCATTAATCAGTATATGAACGTAATGCGTAATGTTTTACAAAACAAACATTGCTGTCTACGTAGTAGACTGCTATTGGTCACACAAAATCAATTTTTAATTAGCGTAGGAACTTTAAGAGTACCATAACCGGAACAAAATACATTGAAGTACTTATGCGTGTTACGTGTTGTTTTCTGCATATTTGAATCATCATTGCATAGCATGGTTTGTACTTGGAGTGTGCTTCACGATGATTTGTTTTCATTGAATGCATTTTACGTTGAGGTCACTGAACTCAAAGCATGGACGCACTTACGCCCCCCGCCTGTTCACCCCATGCAAATACCACGCTTCACAACGAAAACATCAAACACCAAAATAGTCAGAGATCACAATACATTACGTACCTTCTGTTCCACAGTCGGCGCACACATTATTACCACTTTTCTTTTGCAACTCCTGTAACAATTTCTCGTTATGATCTACCATCGTGGAACTTTTGCATCAATAATGAAGACACGCTAGGCTAGCGTACGTCGCCACTCGAAAGTCCAACGCTTCGAACGGACGGTCGGACGCGTTCTCTGACACTGCGCGAGGGAGCGAGCACGAGCAAGGCGCGAGGCTTCGACCGACGCACGGATCGGTTCAACAAACGCCATTACATAGTAGAATATTCGCTTTTTCACTCGCACGCCCGGAGCGCAGATTAGCATGAATGAGATAGAAAGAGAGGTCTAGTTTCGGTACATGAATGAAACGAGTGAGTAGTGGATGTCTCGTAAAACTATATTTGTGTGTGTATAAGGCGTAGTATACGCAATACGACGCGAATACAAGCGTCGTCTCGCGTAAATACAGCCGTCTAGCTATCCATACATACTGCTCGTGTAAGTAGATATAAACGGTACAGTATGCCGATGTAGGCTAGGTCTTTCAGACGAAATGTGCTTGTGAACGTTACGTAATGACTCTAAGTACACAATGTCGTCATAAGACGCACGAGTAAGTTAGTATTTGCTTTGTGGGAGGCCAGCGACGGCCAATAAAAACAGATTGGATATAAAGTAAATAAATCATGCTGAGAACAGATAAAGAATTCGGACCGTCTAATTTAGGCAGTAATGTTTTAAACGTCCACAGACCATATTAAACTCTTTAAATATTAAGCAAATCTGAGAGCTTTTAATAAGACCTTCTACTAAAGTAGAGTCGCGAACACGAATACAACTAATTTATAATGGGGACGACCTCATTTCCCATGCCATGAGATATATGTACGTGGATACGTTCGGTGCTAATACATAAGTGTTACCGATTATATTTACCTGCAAACTCGTAAAAACAATTTCTTAGGTAGCAGATGAACTTTGATTTTGACATTACTGAAAATACTTTTATGTGAATTTATAGAGACTTAAACCTGTATTCCTAGTTATATCAATATTATTAATCAGTAATAATCACTAAACTATATTCTTGGTCAATTTATTTCTTTCAAGGTTTCGATATTTGTTGCAGAGTCTGCGACTCTACGGATCGTGTCACTACAAATAACTCTAGCTAAGTCAGTCATTATTTACAACAGAATTATTCTGTTTCCTCGAAATTGTTGTAACGAATAGCTTGTGAAATAAGGAAAATTATTATATCATATTAAGCTAATTTAATACAAAAAATAAATTGTTAGAGAAACAACACGTGCTACACATGTTGTTTCTCTAAAAATAAATTGTACCATAGAAAATCATTAAGTAAAAAAGAGATCCAAGGTAAGTAGTTTGAAATATTTTGTTATGAAAATTTAAAATAAGGACAGCCATTCAGATCATTTTTAGGGTTCCGCATCACTCGACTGTCTAGCTATTTTTCTCCGAAATTACTGGACTGATTGCAAGGTACAAGGTATATATAGGTAATTTGGTGATCCAGAAACGGCAGTATGAAGTAAATCAATATGCAACATGGCGTGGCAGTCTCTTTTAGGAGATAAATTAGAAAATAGCAAAAGGTTTTCTAAGTTATCATATGACTAGCTCTTTTAACTTCGCCCGATTAAATTATAGTCTGTCATCCGCGTGTATGATATAACTTTTCGTAGGTCCTAATTTTCATGATCAACTTTGCTATTTTGCAAATAAAACAGCTTCGAACTCGACGTTGATTACAGCGCTGGCATAGCATAGATGTTCAATCAAATGAAGCCGGATTTATTTGATTGAGACTATGAAGCGACAGTGTTGTGCTCGATATAGAGTTCAAATCTGATTTTTTTTACAGAATAACACTACAGATCAGGAATTTACAAACAAATAAAGCTTATAATATGTATTAGTATAGACAAGCAATTGAAAGGAATTATGATAAAGATCACAATTAAATTCATATTTAAAAAAAAATGTTACCTATAAATAGACGAATCGACGAGTGATCTACGAAACGTACATTCTCTTTAAAATATGTAATCGAATAAAAATGTTTTCGTATTTATTTTATATATTAGGTATATATTGACTGAAATCAATTTGTGAACTGATTTACGTGCTCTATTCTATACACGTAATTTTGTTTACACAAAGACTAAACTAGATTTACCAAAGAGAAGATGAAGAAGTCTGAATTTATAGTTGATGAAGAAGACCAAAGAAAACTATGTAGGACAATGTTTATTTATTTATTATTTAGGGATTTAGAAAACATTGCCTTCCGATCGTAGTCTTATGCGTATGAATTAAAAAGAACAATATTTTTGAAGAATCTCTTTATTAAAAGTCCGTCGAAATTAGAGTTAGTTACAATTTATCGTGGATTAAGTTCTAGTATTTTCTGTTCCACTATTTTCTAGTCACGCTACACCGTAAGTAGTATAGAACCTCCATTAGTATAGAAGTTCTATACGAATCGCGGTCAGTACAAAATCGACTGTGTATAGTCAGACGTGCAGCCGTGCCTATAGACTTACATAACTCACTGAAATGTTCCTATAATTAAACTTCTAAGATATTAATATATTGTGATATCTGTATGAAAGAAGAAATAAAATCTTATTTCATATACTTAGAAATAAACTGCTACGATAAATAATTTTTATCTACTCTAAATTTGCAGAAGTCTCTTTTTTCTATTGAATGATTTAATTAACCGACCCACCACAAGGCTTTAGGGCGGATGGAAGGGTGTTATTGGTTACAGATACGTGCATTCGAAGCAAGGAGGAGCTCGAAATAATAAATTTCTGGTTAGTCATCCTTAACCGGCCCTTGCGAAAGTTGCTTAATTTGCAGATCGAATACGCCAACATTGCGCCAAAGAGCTCCCTTGATATGGCATATTTATAATATTTTTATTTATTGTAACTTTGGAAAAATGTAGAACTGAATGCCTCTCTTTCACAAACACAGTAAGTAGTTGGGAAATATAATCACTACTTCAAATAAAATAATCCGCTTGAGTTTTTCTATATATGATCGCTTTCCTTTCCAACCTAAGATTATCTGGTAGAAATCGCTTTAAGTTATAATACCATATTCGTTACACTCTGATGTGGTGTTTATTCTGAAAAGTTTATGTCGATATCTGTAGGGTTGACAATAAAATATCATTATTATTTTCCCAAAACTATAATAATCACATACATTCGTCGAACTATTGTCGTTAGTTTCTCAAAATATAATTTTCATTAATTGGACACAAGCGCCATCTCTTAACAGTCGAAAAGAATGAAACCGTAACTTTAAATCTTAAAAGCAATCTGGTTTGGGATTTTTTAATAAAAATAAGTTATGCGTTATTCTAATTTCTGTCTACACAGAACAATTCGTCTTAATATGTTACAAATACTAATTTTAATTATGTTCATTTTAGGTACATGGAGTATTAAAGGAAATTATTTTATGCACTGCTTGGCACTTACTCACAATGACTTACCAATGTGGATACTTAAATTCTCCAAATCAGAGATAAGTTTGAATTTCCCACCTTTTACCTAATGGGTTTTATTCAAAGAGTAATAAAATTAAAATCTTATTCTATAATAATTTAGCTTTAGCTCATAGCTAAAGCCGATATTACTGTAATGTTACATAGAAAACCAGTCACTGTTGATCAACAATGATAAACGGCTTTTTGTATGTGATAAGGATGAAACTTTATTTAGGCGCTTCACTTTCAAGGCTTCATCGATGAAACAACGAAAAACAAAACAAAGTATGTACGAATGTGTACCATAACCGATAGCACATCGATTGCCAGCACGTGAGAAGCCTCGTATTACTACAAAACACGAATCGTATTACTACTCGAAACTCGTATTACTACTAAGTTTATCAATGTTAAAATCTTAAATATCGAATCGTTACAATGATTCAAACCAATATGAAATCATGAAACAAAGTAGACTTGAATTAACTTAAAATATTAAACCTAATATATTACAAGTTTAACTAACCCTAAGGAAGTAATGAAGAAGTATTTAAAAAAAAAACGAAAGCACTAAAAAGCACCTCCACTAGATGGCGACTCTACCAAAAGTTGATTTTTGCAGGAAACGAATGGACCAAAGACAGTCATTTCCGTTCCTTTTAACTGGAACGGAAATGACTGACTTTCTTTTTAACTTTAACATATTCAAAAACTGAAATTTGAAAAGTTTGAAAATTAGATAAAAAGTAAAAGTACAAATAGAATATAAGTTGTTTATTGAGTTTTGAAAACTAATTTACTTTTAAACTTGAAAGAAAACCGGAAAGGTTGTCATGTCAACGTACCGTAGCGACATCTAGTTTAATTTCGGGAACTAATGTTTTTTAAATACCTTTTTTCATTTGTGCTAGCATCTAGTAACATATTTTATTAGTTTCTTTATTTCTTCATTACAATACCTGTATTATTTACATGAAAATATATAGAAGCAGTATAAACAATATCCCTTTATTCTTACTTATTACAAAAAGTAACTGTCAATGTCGGTATTCATATGTCAACAGCGTTGTCATAAAATAGTTCTGAAAATGCTTCTTATAAAATAGCGATATAACTATCAAAATCTGGATATTTTTTTGATTATTTGATAAATATAGGTGAAAACAAATAAGAACAATCCATAAAAATGGGTCGACGATCTATAAATACCACTAAAAGTGGTAAATACATGAATCCCACAGATCAAGCAAGTAAGTGATTGTATAGTGATATATGATTATTCTTTATTAAAACAGTTATAAAGTAGATAATATAAAATTCATATTTTAGGAAAGGAAGCAAGAAAAAAGGAATTAAAGAAAAATAAAAGGCAGAGACAAATGGTTCGAGCAGCTGTGCTGAAAATGAAGGATCCAACACAGATTCTTGAGGAGCTTCAGAAAATTGATGAAATGGGTTTGCTTAGTTTTTAGAATTATATGTTTCTTTACTTTTTTACTGTTACTTGATTAGATATATATATATATTAAAGTCATTTGGTTAAATATTTAAATTGTAACTTTTTGTTGTTAAACATTTGATTTTTAGTAAGTATTTATTTATTTATTATATATTTTCTTATATTCCAGAATTTAATGTACTTCAACCATCTCCACTAAATGAAAAAGTTTTAAAAGAGAAAAGGAAAAAATTAAGGGAAACATTTGACAGAGTTCTCAAGATGTATGTAAGTGAAAACATTAAATAAGAACTTCTTAAAACTAAATATTGCCATCTAATTTAGGGTGCGATTTCTTTTACAAAGACTAATTTCCATGTGCTGTTACTGAATTTTGCTTTGACAAGGAAATTTTATGTTACGTGATATAGTGAAAGTCAAAATAATATTTATTTAAATAAAGTCATTAAAAGTAATTTTAAATCTTCAAACACATTTTATCTACCTCTTGTCAGGATATTTTTATATTGTTGATGATGTTGATGTTGTTAAAAACAATAACCAAAAAAAAAAAACTCATAGCTGTAACAGAAGTAAAGACATACGAACATAAAGAGGAAATATATGGTTGTTTTTGTTTCATTACATTAAATAGGCCCCAAAACTACTAGATTGATTTAAAAAATTCATTCTCCTACATGTAGCTACATCATAGGGGGTTGACATGGTCTATAATTTACACTTGAAAAGTCACAGGAAAACAGCTAGTTATACATAAACTAGAACTGGTATTACCAGACCTAGATAATTTTCTGTTACAATATTAAAAACAAAGAATAAAAACCTGGGCCTTTCAATGTTTTCATAATAAACAGCATTTTTGAAATAGGTAAAGTTAAATTATTATTATAGAAAAAATTACCCATCAAAACTGGGTGGTAAACCTTAAGTCTAAGTATCTGCTATATATTCAGACACATATTATGTTGGGGAAAAAGTCTTTTTGAATATAGTATGCATAAACTTGTAATAAAATCTTGCTGGCTATACCATTTGTTTTTGGCTGGTTTCAGTATCATTAAAAAGTCTAAATTTTTAAGAAGATACCTTCAAATTCAATTTAAGAAAAATGTGTCGTTTGCCATTTGTTTTTTTTAATGTTGAAATGAATGAATCTAATTATGAAATTTGATACATTTTAAAATTTTATCACAAAAAAGATAATTTAAGCCAGGGAAAAACTTGGTTTAAGCATTTTCAGTCCAGAAATTTTATCAGTCCAGAAAATCGATGCCATTTTTGAAAAAGTGAAGTAAGATCAGCATATCAGTAGTTACAACATAGCTGAAGAATTAGGGATGGACCACAAAACAGTTTTGGCGCATTTACCTCATGAGCTCACTGAAAGAAACTGAATGAACTGTGTACCCATTTGTGATTCTTTATTACGGTGTAATGAAACCGAACCATGTTTAACGAAGCTGATAACTGGTGATGAAAAGTGGATCACGTACAACAAGAATATGTTAAAAAGGTCATGGTCAAAGGTCGGTTAGACTATGGCGATACCTAGACTAACTTACAACAAGGTTATGTTGTGTGTATGGTAGAATTGGAAGGGCATTATCCATTATGAGCTGTTACCACCAGGCAGGACTATCGATTTTGAACTCTACTGCAAACAACTGATGAGATTAAAGCAAGAAGTGAGAAAGAGAAAAAGAATTAATCAGTAGATTGGTTGTGGATTTTCATCACGATAACATCATTTTTTGCTACTCAGCAAAAATTAGGAAAGTTTGGCTAGGTGTCCCAAAATTATAGCAATACCATCATGTCACTACCTACTAGATGGTAAAAAGTTATCGAACAAAATGGTACATACTTTAGTTAAATTTATTAAATATGTTTTGAATTTATATGAATAAAATGATTTTCCCCCAACCTATTTATTATTGAGCCATCATTCTTAACAAGTATTTTTATAATTGTAGATTTATATTGCTAAGAAGTACACACAAAGACCCTTGAATGGATTTATTAATTTGATGAGGTGTAATAGTCATTAATGATGTAAATTACTCATACCATTTTTAAAGAATATTTTATAGACAACCAAACAAACCTAACCCAAACATAAAGAAGTTCTAAATTCTGTTAATGATCACTAAGTCACACAGCAAATCATGTATGTTATCTTATATACTCTAATTAGTAATAGTAGGTATTATGTACTTTGGTGTTTGAAATAATATTTCCTTTTAAAAGTAGATAATATATTGGTTACTAACAAAATCATTCAATAGATTATAAAATTATATTATAGTATCTTGAAAGTTCTATAATTAACATTAATGAACTTCCATTGAACAACCCGGATAACGACTTGTTTTTTAACAGGATAAAGACGATCCAGAAAAATGGGTGGAGTTGAAACGCCAAGAAATGGAGTATGAAAAAAGAAGAGCTCATCTTATTTCTTACTATGAGTCTGTGAAGCATGCTCAGTCAGTTCAAGTGGATGACATTCCACTACCAACTTTACAAGTAAGATGATAAATGTTGCATGCATGTTGAGCTGATTTTAAGTATAATTGATACAACAGAAACAATATCTAGATCATAATTTCTTTTTACTACAAATAAAAAATATATAGTTATTATATTTGATTAATTTTGCATTTACAATTCTATAATGAAAAATATTCTGCATAAAATTGTTTTAAGAATCCATCCCTCACACTCTGAAAAATGTTAGGTCTTGTGTAGCTCAGTTGTTAGACTAGTCGCCCGTATTGTGAAAAGTTATGGGTTTGTGTTCCATCTTAGTGTGCCAGGTACAAAGTGGATTATTTAAGCATTTTTCATTAAGAATAAATATAATGTTTCTGAATTATACCTTATATATTTTTTGACAGGTTTATTTGTTAAATAAAATTAATCTATTTACAATGTTCTAATTTTCAGGTACCAGATAACTTAATATATGGTAATGTGCCATCACAAATACCTTTGCCTTTGGATTCTGCTCATCCCAATGGACCTGTGAAACCTATTTTGAAGAAAGACTCTGCATACAGAGTAAGTTTTTTTTGTAATTATATTAAGAATTTTACCTACCACGCGGTAGACCTTCCACACTTTGCAGATATGATAGTTCAGTTCACTCTTTAGTGAACTATAGATATGATAGTTTATAGTTGCCATGAGCAGTAATAGTAGCTGTTAGTGCAAAAATGGTTTACTTAGCTGTAGAAGGGTTTTAGAGAGGCGAGCGTTCACTCGCGGTAGTGTGAATTTGGCCTGCCTGCAGGTCTCCAAAAGTACTACTAGTACTGTTGATGTAGTTTACTCGAGTGTTCACGTATCTTACCAATTAGCTAGCTTACCGATATAGGAATGATCGGCTCTGACCCCATTGCGTCTGATCCTATGCACGCCAGTTCATCAGCTGCATCATTTCCATGTCATCCACTTTATTTTTATCCATTGGATATTAATTGTGTCAGACGGATCTACCACGTTTAGAATCTGGTGATCTTCTTCTTCTTCTTCCAACGGGCGTCTCCGCAACTCGACGTCAAGATTGCGCCTGTTTTGCGTAAGGAGGGTGTGTGGCCAGATACTACTCCAGCCAACCCAGCTCTGCCAGAAACGCTCCTAGCGCCTTCACGTTTGCGATGGCCTCCTGGAGGTTACCCGGCGAGCCGAGGTGCTTTGTCCGGTAACTGGCCACTCCGTTGCATTCCAGCAAGACATGAGCGGCTGTTTCTTCTGCCCTCATGCATCCTCTGCACAAGAGGCTGTCAGTGACACCTAGATTAAAAAGGTGCCTGTTAAAATTGCCATGACCAGTGATAGCACCTGTTACCAGGCGCAATAATGGTTTACTTAGCTGTAGGAGGGCCTTGGAGAGACGAGCGTTTACTCGGGGTAGTGCGAGTTTTGCCTGCCTGCAGGTCTCCAAGGTGTGCCAGTATTGTTGGTGTAGTTTACCTGAGTGGTCTCGTATCTTACCAATTAACCAGCTCACGGGGATAGGGACTATCGGCTCGGGGCCCATTGGTGTTGCGTCTGATCCCCTGCGTGCTAGTTCATCAGCTGCATCGTTCCCACGTGATCCACTGTGTCCTTATATCCATTGGATAGTAAATGTGTTCTGTGACCCTACCATGTTTAGAACCTGTTGACACTCATATAGAAGACTCGATCTGACAGAGCTGCCTTTGAGAGCTTGTAAAACGGATTTGCTGTCCGAGAAGATCCGGATTATTGATCCTGTTACCTTCCTTGTTGCTATCGCTCTCGCTGCCATGGTAATCGCCATACACTCAGCCTGAAAGACTGTATTGTATGTGCGGAGAGGCAGGAAGAGGTGTATGTTGCTTTCCTCGGAGAATACTCCGGCTCCTGCTCCTGATGCGGTTTTGGAGCCATCCGTGAAGACTGTGAGGGCCTTGTGAGTTATCTTTGGATTGTCAGTATACATCAGATGTATCTTGTATTTCTTATCGAAAATGAAGGCGGATTCGATTCGGTCACACGCCGCTTCTACAAGTGGGGTGTTGAGCCATTCCTTCAGTAAGCCATTGAGATGTTTGGTGGTCTCGAACCTTACCAGTTTGTAGATTTTTAGTCTCAATGCTGTCTTTGCCGCTTCCTGTCTAATGTAGATGTGTAGCGGTGTAATATTTAACATTACCTCCAGAGCTGCCGTGGGAGCCGTGCTCATGCATCCTGTTAGGGCGCAGCATGCCTGCCGCTGGAAGCCTTGTAGTTGGTTTTCACATATAGACTGAGTAGTTTTTGGCCACCATACGATGGTACCATAACTTACCATCGGTCTTATGACTGTGATGTATAGCCACAAAAACAATTTTGGCACAAGTCACCAGTGCTTCCCAATCATCCTGCGGCATTGCCACAAAACAACGCTAGCAGTCTTGATTTTTTGTTCTATGTGGCTGTTTCAGTTTAGTTTACTGTCGAGAATTACACCTAGGTACTTTACCTCCTTGGACAGTTGTAGTGTGGTGCCGAATAGCTTCGGTAGGCAGTACGTGCCTACTTTGCGTTTGGTTGTAAACATTACCAGTTCCGTTTTTGCTGGGTTCACGGCCAGGTCGTATTGTTCACACCAGCGTTCAACTTGTTTCAAGGCTGCTTGCATGATGTTGCAAGTTATACCAGCGTGGGTGCCTAGAGTGAGTATTGTAATATCATCGGCATACCCTATGGTGTAGAAATGACTAGCGTTCAGGCAGGTAATCAGGTCATTGACCACCAGGTTCCATAGTAGCGGTGAGAGTAATCCTCCTCCTTGAGGGCATCCCCGCGCGACCAGTGCTCCTATACTGTCCTCACCTGCTACCCGTACTATCCTGTTACGTAGCATGTTTACGATCCAGTCTATAACTTGTGGCTCAGCTCCATGTCTTAAGAGCCTCCTCAATGCTGGTGAAGTTGATTCTATCGAAGGCGCCTTCAATGTCAATGAAAGTGCCCAGACAGATGAGTTTATTGTGAAAGGCCATTTCTATCTTACCGACTAGTTGATGGAGGGCCGTTTCTGTAGATTTGCCCGTTGTGTAAGCATGTCGATGTTTATGTATCGGAGCAGTACTCAGTGCACCGCTCCGAATATGTCTGTCACATAGTCTTTCTAGAGTCTTGAGTAGGAAAGATGTTAGACTGATGGGGCGAAAAGATTTGGGGTTAGTATAGTCGGATTTCCCCGGTTTGGGTATGAATACTACCTTTACTTATCTCCATCTGTGCGGCGTGTATCGGTGAGCTAGACACGCCTGTAGTATACGAGTGAATGCTAAGACTATGTCTTCGCCCCCCCATTGTAGTAACGCCGGGAAGATGCCATCACTTCCTGCCGCCTTGAAGGGTGAGAAACTATTGATTGCCCATCTCACCTTCACAGACGTTACGATTTCATTGGCGAGACGCCACCATCCTTCCGTCGGTGTTGGCGTAGTGTCACGCCATACTACCTGTTCAATTGATTGACAGTTTGGGAAATGGGTTTGTAATAGGATGTGGTTGGTCTCGTTCTGGTTCTGGGTCATCGTGCCGTCGGGTCTCCGATGATTCCCTAAAGCGCCCGGTCCCTGCTTGGCCAAGATTTTCCTTACCCGATTTGCCTGTTGAGTGGAATTTATCTCCGCAGTGAAGCTTCGCCAGGAGGCTGTTTTTCAGTATCTAATTCGTTTTTTGTACTTAGCTTTGATAGCTTTGTAGTCGTCCCAGTCAGTTTCGCTTCGGGTGTTCATGGCTCGGTTAAACTTCTTCCTCACCTTGCTTCTTATTCTCTCCAGTTCAGGACCCCACCAATGGTGTTTGCCCGGCCCGTTTGATTTCAGAAGTTTGGGAGGGCAGGCTTCTTCATAGCATCCTAGGATGCATTGCGAAACCATATTTACCAGTTGTTCTATTTGGTCCGACACCATGGACTTTCGAAAGCTACGAAAATGAATTCTATCATTTTCGTAGCTCATGGATAGTTTATTTGACACCAGACGGCTGTAAAGATTTTTGTTAGTCTTCTTAGGGTACCTCTTGGGGACGGGGTTTGTAATTGGTACCTGTAGGTTGAAACGAATCCACCGATGATCAGAGCATGATGCCTGTTTCGATACATGCCAGTCCGATATCGCATTTGCCATCTCTGGTGTCGCGAGAGTCAAGTCTATGATTGAGCTACCGTTCTTGCTCACATAGGTGGGTTCGCTTCCTCTGTTTATTATTAGTAAGTTAGTGGTCAGTAGGAATTCAACTAGTTGGTTACCTTTGATGTTGTTTTTCTCCATCCCCCACAGGGGGTGATGAGCGTTGGAGTCTGTTGCGATGATTAATTCCACGTTCTCCTGCGCGCAGAAGCGGACCAGGGAGGCGACCTCATCCGGTGGTGGTCGCTCTCTTTCGTGCATGTACGCAGATGCTAGGATCATATCGCAGTTATGGTTATCATGTTTCATAGTCAGCCTTGTGGCACAGAGATCTCTGGAACAGAAATTTGTAAAAGGCTGTGTTTTGATATCTTTTGAAGTGTATATACAGGCTCTCACGTCGTTAACAGTGGCTTGTATGAGCTTACCTCCCAAATTGGAGAGTCCTCGTATTTCACCACCATTGATCCACGGCTCCTGGATCAGCGCGATTGCTGTTGTGTTAACCTCCAACCATTTCCGGAGCTGAGTCGTTGCGGTGATACTGTGGTGGAGGTTGGTTTGTAGTAGATTGGCTCTACTACAGCAGGACGCCATCTTCCTGGCAGTCCACGTCCTCGATCTCGAGCTCGCTGAGTCCTAGCAGACAGCCTTCACTTAGAGGCGAAGAGGCCTCGTGCGAAGGTCCCGGGACAGCAGTGCTCGGAGGCTCCGTGGACGTGGTTGTGGCGTGTTGTGGGCCGGCGTCTGGTGTTGGTGCCGGTGTAGGAGCCGGTGCAGGTGTTATGTCCGGTATAGTCTCCATTTGTTCCGGGCGGCACCGGGGTTGCTCGTCGGCGGAGTGTCAAAGTACTTCCCCTTCGCGTCCCTGAACTTCAGGTACACAGACCCGGAGATGAAGCAGTCTGCGCCCCTTGGCCAGGATCGCTGGCACGTCCTCTTCCGGAATCGAGAGACTTATGAAAGTCGTACCGAAATTGGGTTGTAAGTGGATGCCGTTTAGTACCCATCTTTCGGTGTTGATGTCTGGGTTCCCGATCGCTAGGCAGTTGCCTAGTACTGACCGGTAGCTCTTCCACAGTTTTGGAAGTACGAAACCGCACCTGACTCTTCTGGGGATCTCGTCAGCCCGAAGGACAACGAGCTCAACTCCATCAGGATTAGGCAAGCCTCGCACTTGTTGTTGGACCCATTCTGCGGTGTGTTGATTTCCACACGTGTACCTAAGGCACCCATCTATGTAGAGTGGTTTCCCACTAAACACTAAGGCAACCTTGGCACACTCGTGGCGTACTTTGGTCTGCGCAATCTGCATTATCGCTTCCTCGATCTTATCCTCGACCAGCTCCGCCGTTGCTCGAGAGATAAATCTTTCGCTCGTCATGACAGCTATTCGGGTGTCCGACGAGGTCGCTGCAGATGCAACTGGGGCATAGGATTTTGAGATGGGGCGGGGCACGGTGGGCAGAATCGGTCGTTATCGGATCAAAAATCTATAACTTCATGATTTTTTGTAGTACCGCAATGAAATTTGGTACAAATATTCAGTGAGGTTTGGAAATTCAAATGATGTATAATTTGTAGTGTTTTTCTATATACATATATATATGTTATATGTCATAGAAGTAAAAAAATGGGAAAAACACAAAAATAAAATGGTAAAAAAAAATTCCAAAAGAAAGACAAGTTTTAATGACTAAGAAGGTTAAAACTATGGTTAAATACAATTACCCAATTAATAAAAAATACAAAAGATTTTTTTTTTGCTGAATAAACAAACTATCCTAGGCCTGTAGCTTCAGAGATTGATATAGCTCGTTACAAACATTACTAATAACTAAATATCAATATTATTTTTATTTTGGTAGGTACCTTTATTGCTTCAGGATCAGGGTCAGTAAATGTGCGTTCACTTTCAGGTACCACTTTTAAAAGACTTACTGCCTCTACTTCAAGATTTTTTACATTTCTTAAGTATGGTTTTCTTAAACTTTTTATATATGGATCTGACTGAAAAGCATTTTAAAGACATCTTCATTTGTTGCAGACCGGGAAGATTTTCTGGCATGATGAAGTCGCATGTTTCTGTAGTCTTTGTTGCGAGACTCTTGTGCGTCTTCCGACAGCTGTCCAATAGGAAGCACTGCAAATTGTTTGATAACGTTTTCTCCGTGTATGAGTATTTTATGAACGGAGGACGGCATATAATACCAATCATAATTACTCACATATATTCTTGCAGTTTCTATTGCATATACTCCAAACTTTTTAGAATCAATCATCTTTCCAGAAGATAGAACTTGTAAGATAATATACAGGCGTTTAATAAATGTTTCGTCTACACCCGTAATTTCCGCCTGGTCTAAGTTATTCCACATATTACGGAGGTCAAATTTCTTTTGAGTGTCAGCGTTTCTTAATTCTTCTACAAGATGAGCTTCTTCGTACTCACCTAAGGCCCGTAGTCCCTGCACAAAAGCGTTTTTTATATGCTTGAAGCCATATTCTTGGAGTAGAAGAGTGTTTTTCCTCTTCTTGGTAGATTCTGAGGAGTCACTATAAGGTACGCAAGCTCTTTCTCGCTGGCCAGATGTTGATGGCGTAGAATCTTGTTCGGAGTCCGGGAAATGTAAAAATTACCCTGAGTTCAGCCAAGCACTATTCTTCTTAATAAATGTTTCTGTTTTGCGAGATGCTTGATCCCAGCGCTTATTGAATGTAGGAAGAATATGCCTTTGTATATCACTAACAATAAAACACTATTTATTTTCAGAAACATTGAGGCTTTCCACTAAAACTTTGGATAATGATTCTATGGTCCTGCCGCCCTCGATTTAAGGGATTATAAATTCGCGTTTAATACAGCTAAAGGAAGACATTTTAATGCTTCACAATTTCACGGAAATTTCAGGTGTAGATGAGCTTTACTTCACTTGAAGTTACACCGATGAAGATGGCTCGAATAGTTTTTGCTTCCCTTTATATACCCATTTTCCCATATCAAATTGGTACCCACATAATTATTATTTAGTAATTTCTCACGCATAACGAGTGCAAATTTGATAAGATTCCTTTGTTGTCGCTAAATAAATAAAATATTCCAAAAGTAATATAATTATTGTCCTCGTGAACGGTGTCTGTGGTAAACCACAAAAGATACTGATTTTTATGTTCCGACTTTTCACACATTATTTCTTATATTTTCTAAAACCGCAAATTTCCGCAGCTGCTTTTTTTTGTATTCTGTTACTGAATAGTTAGACTATCAATTAACATAAAAAGTTGCGCGTGGGGAGTCGTGGGTAATATTGAAAACCTTAGACGAAAAAAAAGAAAAGTAAAAAATAAGGTATGTCACTTTTTAATTACTTACTGACATAATTGTCGCTGTTTTAGAAATTAAAAAGATGTAACGTAATAAGCATGAAATAACCTTTCCAAAAATGTATAATACTGCATATATGTACCCAATATATCTTGCACAATATTGCTTTGAAACATGTATATGCGAAGACTCGAGTTCGGCACTCCCGTCTTCTATGTATTTCTACCTATGAAAAAAATGTAACTTCGTGCATTTTCGATAAAAAAACTAAATGAATATTATAATTCGATTATTTGAGATCCTAATAAAATCACTAAATTAAACAAATTATGATATTCGTAAAAAGTATTTTTGATATGCTCTTGTTCTACCATTTTCCACTGTGCGGGGGTTGGGTTCGGTTACCGACTCGGTCTTTTGCCTTTTAGGATCTCCTCTAGGAGACACAGTCTCATCGAGTCGTAGACTTCGCCTTTCCCTTGCCATTCCCCTTCCCTTTTGGCAGTGGGCGGTCCTTTTCCTAACTCGGTATCCGTTCCATTTGGGGTTGCTCAGACAACATGTTGCCTTTTGCTCCCCCATACGTTCGGCTCCTTGTCCCGGCTGGTAGTGGGTGCCACTTGGGGTTGCTTTGGTGTTGGCAGGTTTGCCTGCTTCCCACCTTCAGCTACCCTTTGCGTACCCTGCCGGTGGTCGGGACAATTCGGTTGCTGGCTAATGCATTCATTCGGGATTCCCGTCTGAGCTGCTTCTGCCGCTGCATCCTTGCCTTCTGCTTCTCCTTCCTCTTGGACTTCTTTAGGGAAGCTTGAGCAGCGGCAGTAGGAGTTTCCTCCTGTGTCACCTTTCCGCTCTTCCTTCCCACAAGAGTCCAATCTTGCTCAGGCAGAGTAGTGGTCCCCTTTTCGGGTGTAATCGTGTTGATTTTGTTACCCTCCGGTTTCCCTTCGGGCGTGTTGTTCACTTCTGAGGATACCATTGAGGCCTGCTCAGAAGGAATTGAGTCAGCAGTTGCTGATGTGTGTGGCAGTGAATTGAACCTTTGTGTGTCGTGTAAGTGTAGTGTAAAGTCTTCATCCAGTCCGTTTCCCACCCTCCATGGAGCCCGCACATCTGGGAGTGCCCTATAGAAAACAAGGTGCACTTGGATTACGGACTGGATATAGATATAGGGAGTTGGTGTCAGGTGCGACATCGGAGGCTTGGAATGAGAGGCTGTGCTACCGGTTCGAGTAACCCATTTGTTCCACTCACCCTCACCTTGTCTGTATGACCTTAACTGTCCAACACAGCAAGCTGCGCCGGATCCCCCCATATCTCGCGGCGGCCCTCTGACGGGACGCGTGACCGTTTCCTCTCTGGCGCTACCTAGAGAGGCTACCGTTTTGTTTGAAAGGGGGCGTGTTGTGTCGCGAAGGTACTACCGCCGACTTCGCTTCACTCAACCCCCCAGGACTCCTTCATCTCCACTTACGGCGCTCAACTGCGCAGGCCTTAGCGCAGGAGGGGTTATTAGTCTATCGGATTTCCCCTCAAAAACCGATAGAACCGAGGCCTTTGTAGGTCAGCCTGGGGAGAAAGGTGTCAGGGAAAAGACGAAAAGAGGGTTAGGAAGCGTGTTGAAGTGCGGTTAGGATCATAGGATTAGAGGGTCTTAGGATTCCCTCACTGTGATGGAGTGCACTGGTGAGGTAGCGTTAAACGCTTCAGCTACATGGATCCCAGGGCAGATAGTGAGTGTGCGGTGCCTATTCATAGATCCAGGTATTACCGAGGTGAACGACGTGGACGTACGTTTAACATTTGACGGTAGGCATATCCTGCTCAACACCGCACACTTGAGCATATACCAGCCGCCCTTCACCCCTAAAAGAATCTGGTGATACTTTTATAAAGACTCGATCTGACAGAACTACCTTTAAGAGTCTGTAGGGCTGATTCACTGTCTGAGAAGATCCGGATTTTTGATCCTGTTACATTTCTAGTAGTTATCGCTCTCGCCATGCATTCAACCTGAAAGACTGTATTGTATGAGCTGAAAGGCAAGAACAGACGTATGTTGAGGTCCTCAGAAAATACACCAGCGCCTGTGCCTAATGAGGCTTTAGAGTCGTCTGTGAAGACTGAGGGCCTCGTGTGTTACCTTTGGATCTTCATTGTCCATAAGATGTATCTTGTATTTCTTCTCAAAGATGAAAGCAGGTTCGATTCTTTTACACACCGCGTCAACAAGCGGGGTGTTAAGTCCTTCAGTAAGCTATTGAGATGTTTAGCGGTCTCGAACCTTCCCAGTTTGTGATTTTTTAGTCTCAATACTGTCTTGGCCGCTTTCTGTCTCTTAAAGATGTGTAGTGATGTAATATTTAACATTACTCCAAAACTACCTTGGGCGCCATGCTCATGCATCCCGTCAGGGGGCAGCACGACTGCCGCTTGAAGCTTTGCAGTTTGTTTTCACAGGTAGACTGAGACGTAGCAATGAATAAAAATAAAAATTTGCAGATATAGTAATATTTTTTTTATTTGCGTAATTACAGGAACGGCCAAAAGGTATCGAGCCACCCGGCGTCCCGCCCGGTCCTCCGGTTGACATCGCTGCGCTGTTAACTGACGCGGTTAAGCTCAAGATTATCAAGGAAAAGAAGAGCCTTCGTTTCCACTACTTGCCCGACGAAGGACCTCCTGGAGAATGTGTAAGAATGATGCTTATTGTAATACTTTCCTATGCAATAATATAGAGTACTTCGAACCAGAAGGTCTTTTTCAGTCTGAATGGTCTCAGGTGAATCAATGGTTATAGCAATCACTCTGATTGAGAAAGATTGTGGGTTAGAATCATCATCTCGGGCACCTGAAACTTGTGAATTCTATTATGTGTTTTTTTTTTAAAAGATGGATACAAATCCTGTTTGTTTATTTCAGAACTATTCTCCACCAGCAAATCAAGCACCACCACAAACAATTATACCAGTACACGCCGAAGATTATGATGGAGAACAAGTAGTAGACCCAGAATGTCCATCACCTCCGCATGCCGTGGCAACGCCCGCTCCGAAACCTACGTCGCTTCAACAACGTATGCTGGCTCTCTCCGGACAGAATATAGACGATTTCATGAAAGAGATGGAGGAGGTGCATAAAAAGAGGGAGAGAGATAGGGCTGCTGATTTAAATGCTAGGTTAGTATTATCATATTTGAAAACGAGCTCGATGATGAAATCGTTAACAAGTACGCTCTGCAATACGGAAGTTAAGCAACTTTTAGCAGTTGTTAATCCATACTGAACCTGTCTGGTGGGTTATGGTTTGTTCTCCCTACATATTTCATTTCATCCATAAGGTAGACCCCAGCAGTTGGGATATTGGTGACGAAAGCTAATCCTATTAATACTAATAGTGCTGTAACTAATCTCTATTACTTGGGTATATCCAACACTTGAATAAGTTATCCAACAAATAAACTGTTTTTCTAGAGTATTTCCTGATTTTTAGACTACTGTAAATAGTTTTTGGTTTCGTAAAATGACGTAGTATACCAAAAATAACTAAGTGAAACTTTCAGGTTGAGCGCATTAAAACGCACCGGGGACGGTCGCGACAGTGATTCGGACAGCGACACGGAGATGCCGCCGTTGCATAATCAGCCGCAGGAGTTCCTCGAGCCGCCCGGAGCTGAGCTTAGGCAAATGCCGCCGCCGCTTATGCCACCAGGTCAGTCTCATTTGTTATTTATTTAAACGGAACAGAACCCGTATTTATATTATCATATATTTATTTATTTATTTTATTGCATTGCAAAGAAACTAAAAACTAAATACATAAATTTCAGTTAATAATATTCACATGCACCTGATAGGCATGGCAATATAGAAAGATGGAAAGAAGAGGGTCAGACATTTTTGACAGACATATGTAGTTGTATCTTATAATATACAAGTATTCCGTCAGCGGCTTCGCCCGCGTAGTCCCTAGAAAACTCTTTAGTGGGATAAAAAGTAAACCATATGTTAATCCAGGCTTAGAATTTAATTTCATAATTCATTTGGATAAGGTTTCATGAGACTGATATAATAAGAATGACAAATTGAATAGTATAACAATATTTACTATGGTAACGTTTTAATGCCTTTACAAAATTTTACTTCCATTATCATCCTTTTACTTGCTGTTTTCGAGATAAAATATAGCCTATGTCCACCGCGTGTGATGTTTCGCGTAGGTGGCGAAAATTTTAAAATCAGACCAGTAGTTTCGGAGCTTATTCGATGCAAACAATTATTTCCCCTTTATAATATACTAGCTTTCCGCCAGCGGCTTTGCATCAAAATCCATCGCGTATTTTTAAAGATTTAAGCATACATACGGATAAAGGGACCGACTTTGTTTTATACTGTGTAATGAAATCACTTATAATAGCAGAATATCAGCTACAGAAAGCAAGCGGACATTTTTTTCACTGAAAGAGGAAAATCATTATTAAAACATCTTATTCTACCTATTATATTTGATTTAAGTTACATTTACAATGCAATACTCATAACAATTAAAAATGTTTCATCTCGGGGTATCTGCGGCTAGTGGATTTTTTAACAATTTTTCTTTAAAGATATCTTAATATACCCTTTTTACTTAACTCAACTTTACTCAACAGTTTGTCGTATAGGGTCTGTCGTAATTTGCTAATTATTATATAATAATCGCCTTTAATAAGTACGTAAATAATAAAATAAGTACCCACTATTATTAGCTTATTAGTGCAATGTCATTCTCACAAATCAATGGTGATATATATATATATGTCGCATCATCATTACGAAGATCGTTTGATTTAGTTTCTTTTATTTTAATTGCTAGTTACTCGATTACTTAATTACTCGATTGTAAAGAGAGCGTGATCATCGATACTTTTAATTTTATTAGAATGGTGACTGACTTTGACAGTTCGTTTATAAAAACCAAGTTGCCGCCATTTTGGCACACATTCTGTTTCCGATCAACGAGGAGTAAAGACATCCGATGACATCACGCTCATCTCGTTATATTTTCGTATGAAAAGTGATAAATGGAACAAATCCACGTTGGTATACCACGCCTGCAGTGTTATTTTAAAGATAGTCCTCCGATATGGACGATCTATTTGGGCTTCGTAATAGCCCCTTCGGACTACCCGCCGACATATATATTTATCATTTTGTATCTAGTAACAAGAACTGTGTCATATAGGGTTGTAGTTGAAGCACCATTGAACTTCCACAATTACGCTAACATTAGTAGAATAGGGGTGTAGACAACTTTTTTATATTTTTATTTTATAGATATATATGAAATATATCTAAAAAAATATTATCTTTCGTTTAATAGGTTTAAAATCTAAAAATAAATGTAGTGTTCAAAATCTCCTGAGAAAACGCCACATTCTGTCATGGCGTCACTATGACGTTAGATTTTTTATTTTAAACCATTAACAATAATATGTTTTGAATCGTCGGAATCCGTTCGGAGTTCCAATAGCATTTATTGTACTAATTGTATTATTTTATAGTGTTAATATTACTAGTTTCATTTAAGAGATGTTGCCGATCATATCTGTTTACTTGATACGAAATCGAGTAACGTAAGGTAAAACAATTACCTACTATTATTATTTATAAAGAATTCAACAAACATATATTCAAATAAATATTTAAGCTCGACTAGTACTGATTCAATGTTAGTTCATTATTAGGAAGTGATTTAATAGTACATTACGATATGAGTGCGTTATGATGGTTATAACATGCGAGGGGTAATTTCAGCCCGAGCCGAAGGTGAGGGCGTAATTGAGCCGCTCATGTTATAACCAATACGCACGTATATCGTACGACGTTTTTTAACACATTTGCGAGGAAACAGAAAAAAAAGAACATTAAATAAACTCAATCTGTGAATGTTCACTGTTGCTTTCCCGCCATTTTAACAGCGCGCTAGCGCTGCCTACTGACTGGCGCCGCGCGGCGATTAGTTCGAAATTTGAATAGCAACAGCGCGCGAAATGGCAAATAATACTGTTATGGAATTTGTATGGACTATAACTTAACTATTTGCTTTGGTAACATACGCGTTTTTTATGACCCGCTTTACATATTTAAAGCCGGTGGAATTACATCAGATTTACGAGCAAAGATGTTAAAAATATTTCTTACTGAATCAAGCAACTAATTAAAAAGAATAAAAAATTTCATGTATTTTAAAGTATTTATTTGTAAAGAAAAAAGATAATATCGCATTTAATTTATATAATTCAATGAATATCCAAAATGATATACAGAAACTCCAGTATCCTTTCAATTAATTGTCTTGTTGTTTTTCAATATCAATAGTAAATCACTTTATGTCAATCACTAGTGTAATATCTTAAATTAAAATGGCTTTTACACGTTTGTTACGAACTCTAGATGTCTGTTACGGTTAAGCGTGATTGGTAATAGTTATATTGGAGCGTTCTGATTGGCATGTTTAAAATGCAAGTGTGTGCATATCATTTATATTTCGTCTGGTGTATGGCGGATGAAAAATGGGGCAATATCGATTTTCGTAGAAAGATTGCATGATCGCCTTAATAAACCTCTTTTCTGTGTTATGTTATATTAATCATTGCCAGAAAAAAATGTATTTATTTTCGTTTATTTTCTACACTTTGTTGCGAATACTTTTATAATCATATTTTTTTTTTGTGTCTATTAATAAGTTTTCTTCAAATGCTATGTAAAAGGAACCAATTATTTAATTCTTCTTTTGGTATCTGTAGGGGACCCTAGTGATCTGTGTCCACAGGTATCTTACGAAACCTATATCAGGTACTAGTCTCCTTCTGCGCGGTGTATGGCCTTCGGGCCGATCCCGCGCCTCGCCCACCATGAGAGGGACATCGCTGAGTTTTAGTGGGTAAACTCCTGTATTTTGTCTAGCCCCCACTCTGGGGGCGGGACCACAGGAGGAGTCCCACAGACCCCGTGAACCCCAGCGCATGGGGGGAGCGGACATGCGGAATGCATTTCTCAGCGTCAAAAAAAAAAAAATTACAGGACTATATATTATAGGTTTATTTACCACTTATCTGTTTAAGGATCCTGTTTGCGGAGAGCATTAACGTTTATTATTATTATTACTTGTAATGCCGTACAGGTCTCCGTTTGCCGCTCCGCGCCCCGGTGGGCCTGCCGCCGCTGCGTTTGCCGCCCGGCCCTCCAGCGGGTCGGCCGCCCGCGCCGCCCGGCCCCCCGCCCGGGCTGCCCCCGCGGGGCATGTTGCGTCCCCCCGGCCCCCCGCCTGGTGCCCCCCCGCGCCTGCTGCGCCCTCTCGTGCCGCCCCCCCCGCCTAAGGCGATGCCGCAAGTCTCCGTGCTCACCGCCGCCCCGCAGCTTATACCCAAGAAAGATGGCCCGCAAGGTATCTTTTATTATCTTTATTTCTTTTGGGTTTGAGAAAGTAATGTGCCGGTGGCGTGGCGTATCGTAGACAAATGTAGACGTGAGTCAAGCATCAGTGAACCAGAGTATGGGTTCCAAAATTTACCATGTTTTTGTATCTATGTTACAGTTAAAACCAGTTATTAGACAGTACGCGTTTTCCCCAGTTAGAACTAGTTTATACTAAATTCCTTTGTTAAAACTGGAATTAATGAATTTTCAAAATTGTGAATCAGTTAAAGCTATTTCTTACTAGACAAGACGCGTTTTTCCGAAGTGAGTCAGTTAAAAAATAATTTTGTTTTTTCTATCAGTTATGTTTGTTATCTGTAAAAAAAAATCGTCATTAAATTTCTAACAACGATTTTATTTTACCGCGGCAGAAACTTCTAATGGCGCCCTTCCTCCACACTCTCCCCTCCCACGCTCCACGAGACTGACGATTTATAATACTGCAAGCGCGATTTAATATTATTTAACGTGTTAGTTGGTATTGTGAAAAGATTGCTCGAAGTAGCGGTGTCTTTTAATTTCGATATTGATCTCACTACAAATAATCGTGAATTTCCACAGGAACCACAATTAGTGCGAAACCACAGATTAGAAATCTGTCCGCTGACGTCACGAGGTTTGTACCGTCGGCTTTGCGAGTCAAGAGAGAAGACAAGAAAACGAAACCCGCCAAAACTGGCATCGTGCAAAGACCTGCAGATATTCCGAAGCACGCGCCCACCAAGGACGATGCTTATATGCAATTCATGAAAGAAATGGAAGGATTATTATAAGGGAAATTATGAAATTGTATATGTATGTTACTTTCAAGGATCGAAATCGCTCATTGAGCGAAAAAATAGTTCACAACGCGTTGTGGCAATCGCAGAATAAACAAATAGCTAAATTCGTGTTATGGCATTCATGGTTTTTCTTCATTGCTACAACGCGTTGTGGTCGAATAGCATGACGCCACGACACGGGATTTAGCGATAAGTCGTTATCCATTTTTTAAATCACGTAACGTAACCGCTACCAGATGGCCAAACACCGATATCAAAACTGTTTATTTTTGATAACTAGTTAACGGAACGTACAAACATATACCTATTTCATTCACGTATACTGACATTATGTTGTTGTTTCTTTCACACATAACTGGTAGCATTGTTTTCGATCCATATTATTTAAACGCTTTACATTACGTGTTACATTCTATATGGTAATTAAAATTGCATTACATGACCTACATATCGTTGCGAACTATGATCGCCGCTTCTTGGTGATCGCAGTTATTGTAAAACGAGTCGCCCAAACATCAGCCTTTAATGATTTATTTAAGAGTGAATTCAGCTTGTAATATTAAAAATAATTTATCTGTGTGTGGTTGTAATATTTAAAAATATAAATGGGATTTTGAATCTAATAATTAGATATTAAAGCTGCAAAGAAATTTGCCAAGAGGTAGGTCGCTAGGTTTATGTTTCCACCATTATTAAATATAAGGTATTTTTACTTAAATGCCGTTGATGCAACAAGATTAAAATATAACAAAAGATTCACATCTTTTCGCTATTTAAAAAGGTCGTGAAGTGACAAATGTCAAAACTTACAGTCAAGTTTTTTTTTTTGCGAAACTCTCTAAATTGACCTCGGGATTAGGACCATTCAGCCGAGTTGTAAGAAAAATACATGTGACGTAAATTTAATGTTACAAGCTTTACTTTAAAGCGTTGTGGAAAATATGTAGTTATTGTATCACTGAATCACTAGTGATCTCGGTTCATGCAAATCTCTAGTTGAATAACATCCATCGCTAACGGGTTTTGCTATGTGGTTATTCTGTGAATGCCACAACGCGTCGTGAGCGAGAGCCATAACACGAATTTTGCTGAGTGGATATTTTATTGTAACCACAACGCATTATGAACTATTTATTCGCTCAATGAGCGATTTAGATCTTTGAGCGTAACATATATATTACTTTATGTGTATGGATTAGATATTAAATAACGCTTAAGAAACAAATTGTGTCGTTAATTTCTCTTTTACACTAAGTAAAACAACAATCTTGCCTAGTTTCATTGATTTATAAACTGCGATCTAAATACTTAATCCGTCTGAATAAACTACAATTTAGAAATCGAAGTTTCTTTTGAATAAAAAAGAGTTTCCTTGATTTGCCAGAACAATGCTTTTTGGCCTTCAAATAAGGTGACTGGGTACCACAAAATCGAGACAGTTTTATTATAGTCATTCATTCTTAGGCTTTACAAAAAATATCAATAGTCGACTGGCTCCGGCGGAAGCAAATTTTGAATTTTAAAAGCAATAACTGCCTTATAACGGTGGCAATATTTTATGTCAACTTTCTAGTTAATAAAGCCATCGCAAAATGGCATTTGTAAGATTTTCGACCTAATAACATTGTGACTGGAAAAGATTAAATGCCAGTTTATACCTAGATCACTATTCCTTACCTAAATTAACATCATTATTTAGTATTGAATTGAATTGAATCATGGTCTACAATTGGGCATAACTTCGTAGTAATATGGCCCTGACGTGTCGCGCGACTGTACATAATCTTGTTTGTGTTCCAGAAGTATATTTGCATCCGCGTGAGCGATTAAGCATAACACGGGGTTAACGACTGATTATCTACAAATACCTAATATAGTTTTTCTGTATTATCGGTGAATGAGTGTGTAATATAAATTATTTTATTATACGTTAAATAATGTAGGTATCTATTTCTGTATAAGTACCTGATTACTCCACCTTTGTTAGAGTATTTAGCACTCGTAGCATGACGAACTCTCGAGACTCATATATATCTCATTTTCTCACCCGTTTCTCGAGTTGGTGATGCCATGAAGGGCAGGACGGGGACCACGGAACAAGAAAAAAGGGTATGGACGCAAATATTCTATACAACACAATATGTTTGTCGATAATAATATTAAATCTTAATAAAAAATGTTTAAAAAATCTACTTGCTCCATGTACTCGAAACTCACGACCTTTCGCAATCCCATCAACTTTACGGTTCTCTAGTCTATGACGTCACAAATTCATATACTTATTACTTTTCTAAATACTTATTAGACGTACGCGAACTGGCCCGTAAATATAACTTATGTCGCCCGCGTAGGTGACAGAATTTTAAAATCAGCCAGTAGTTTCAGTCTCTTCAATGCAAACAAACAATCAATCGTTTCCTCCTGCATTGCCTTTATGAATGAAACGACAAAACACATAATTTTCGGATGCACTTTATTGTATAATCTTTGGTATCCATTACTACTATAATATAATATTATTCATTTATGTTTATTTTAACATATGGCTAGGAGTTCGGAGGCGGAGCATGGTCGCATACAACAGTTCTTGATCACCTTCTCTCTGATGTCCCAGCTTCTATTGGTGACTTCTCTGGGTATTAAAGACATGCCATTGTCAAGTAATAACTCTGGAAGATAAAATATAGATTTAAATTTTACAATATTTAAGATTAACGGTTTGAAAATAGTGTTTAAATTTATTAATATTTAGATCGAAAAAAAAAAAATGTTTATACAGTGTCGGTGAGCGCGTTACTCGAAAGTTCAGGCCAAATTATTTAGTCAAAACTTGAAAGAAATTTTAAGTTCTTATGGGAAGTAAGAATAAAAACTTCGAATAAGTAAATACTATAAACCTAACACTCAAAGATTTTTGTAGAATTTATGACTTTTATAAGATAAATTATATCCGGCCTTCTAAGTACACAAATACTTATATACATATTGCATACAAAATTTCCTATTTCCTGTTGCCTTACAAGAAGTTACGATTAAAGTTAAATCTAATAAAGAATTCTGAAACAGCGACGGCAGGTACCATAACCACATTCGGAAATGTTCTTTAATCTTGCTTATATAATGTACGATTTTCACTTCAATAAGTAAAGAGGCGAGTAAACTTGTCGCTCTGGTGAGTTAATTTATTTTCGTTCAAACAACAATAAGCATATTGAACTAGCCAGAATATTAGTTAAGGCTCTCTTGTACTTCCGCTTACTTTTTACATTTTTAGTCACAGTTGTAAAAGTAAAAAAAAACAAACGCAGTTATTAATTATGATCTAAAAATATATCAAAACCTATATGTTTCTGTTTTTAGCAAGCAATCGATCAAATGTTCAACTTTTATATAATGGTTTTTATTTGACAAATATTAGACAAAGTGATAATTTCATAAAATCTCGCCTTAACTCGCTACTTTATACATCAACATCAGCCTAATTAATGCCCCCATTGCTGGTGCACAAACCTCCCCTATGGATGCAATCGAATTGAATCAGATGAGAACTAATTGCAGTGGAAATAGCTCTAAAGTGCTCCCATAAAGATATTTATTACTTAGAGATTCGTTACTCACCGGAAGAATAATCCCCGTATATAGAACACAAGTTGATCATGCTACGGGTGAGTTCTTTGATGCATTCATGCATGGGGACCTTGTCGTGCGAGTGTGTGAACGGTAGAATGTGCGCTTGCCCCATATCGTGACTACACGTCACCACGAACGCAATAAAATAAATATACTTCCCCTCCATACTGGTCTCTGGAATAAAAATAATATAAAATCAAATTAGGTTTTAATGGTTACAAATGATAAGGGTCCTATGGTGAAGAAAAGCTAACGGCACCCTAAGCTGTGGTGAAAGGGCAATAGGGTAAAATGTATATATTTATATATTATATTTTTTGAAGTTTTAAAAGAAAGTCGTGATTTTACCAGTAATTAACACAAGTGGAGAAAAGACGTCACCCTAAGCTGTGATGAAAAGGCAAAATATTTTATTTTCTCGAGTTTTTGAAATAAGACACTAAGCCGCGATTTTACCAGTGATTGACACATGATAGGCTGCTGTGAATTATCACTGGTAACATCATGCTTCCTATTTGTTGTTCGATTTGTCCTAAAAATATCTAATTTATTTATTTACTAGCTTTCCGCCAGCGGCTTCGCCCGCGTGGTCTTGTACTATACATAAAAACCTTCCTTTTGAATCACCCTTTTTAGGAAAAAAAACCGCATCAAAGTCAGTTGCGTAGTTTTAAAGATTGTAGCATACATACGGATATAGGGACAGAGAAAGCGACTTTGTTTTATACTATGTAGTGATTTATATATTCAGGAATACAAACAGCACATGACTTTTATATACAGACATTAAGTTACAGAAAGCCAATAAAATGTTACCACGGTTGGTAACGGTATAATTAACAATTAGAGTGAGCACAGGTAACGTACAGTGGAAAATTATAACAGATTAATATTGCACCAGAAAAAAATTCAATGTTTTTGAGTGAAATAAAATATTTGCAATTAAAATGCTAAATGCATTTTCACTAAGATTCAACAAAAAAATCATCGCTCATCAATCGCCTAGCCCTTGATATAATAAAACATATCGAAGTCTTTTGACTTGCATAATTCATTAAATGTTCTACTGGTGCATTCTTTCCGTAGTTAAATGATGCCACAGAATGATGCCGCTACTACAAGGTCAAATACGTTCAAAACAAAAAATGGCCAAACATTTTATTGATATTGACCTTATCGGATTCAGATACATGTTATTTATTTCTTACTTTGATGGAACGTGATATTTTTATAAGTGCTCTAGCATATTTTGAGTTGGTCTGTAATTACCCGGTGGATATTGCTCAACGGCTTAGTGTAAACTACATACATCTAATATCTACATACATCTACATAGTAGTTATATATGATGAAACCAAAGTTAACTAAGTCCTATTTTGCTAATTTTAATAAAGAACCTATCAAATAAATTACATACTCAATATTAAATATTTCACAATAATTCACTGAACAATTAGTTTAGTTAGATATCTCGGCTAACTAAGATCGTAACTTTATTCTTTATTTTTTTTTTAGTATGATTTTTTCATTAATTTCAGCTGTCTCAACTGATTTTAGATGCCCATTACGTGTTATGAGGGCACGAAAGTGCCCCCACCAAGTCAAGCAAAAAAGTAAAAAGGCCCTTTTTTGACTCTTCGTAACTTCGTTGTGGAAGTGAAAGCCTAAATTGTCAGTGACTAAGAGGATATCACACAACGAGGCACATTTCGAAATCACATTAAATTTGAACGAGTACCTAATTTAAGAATTGTTGCAATACCTTAAAGATTATTGAATATATTTTTATTTATTTATTTATTTATTAACACTTCATGCACAAATGTACTATGGTGGACTTAATGCCGTAAACATTTTCAGTCAACCTGAGGGTGATGTGAAGACAAATAGATGATGGGGTGCACAATAGAAGTGGAAATTTTGTAGTTTAGGTTTTTTTTTCTCGCTAATTTGGATGCGGATGGATATAGCTTGTGTTACACGCGTACGATGTGGCTTAGGTGAATGAATTTTTAAAATCGTTCAAGTAGATTCGAAGCATTATTCAAAACAATCAAACCTTTCTCTTAATAATTTTAGAAAAGAAACACGTTCTAATTTATATTTGCTTTTGGATGTAATAAAATTTAATTTTGAGAATAAATGTTACAAGTTCGGTGAGTTAACGAGTTGAAAAAGTTTGTATTATTAAAATTATGAATATGACATATTCATAATTTTTGTTCATTTACTCCTCAGTAAGTACCATACCAGTTCCAATTTAGGAATCCTGTCCGAGAAGAACTGGCTAGACAAACTCAGGAACAAACATTAAAATATATAATTCAAACATTACCAAAACTGATTATCTGATTTCAAAAAATATGAATACCTATAAACTGTTTATTTTTTTTTAAAGAATCTACTAATCGCAGAGAAATATGTGAACATAAAAAACATACCCGACAAAAGTTGAACTTCCTCTTTTTCTATATTTAAGTCAGAACATAAGCAACGTAAACCCGGCTTTAGACATAGGAGTTATTACATAATTAGCTAATTATAGACGTAAGCGATCTATCTTGGCAGCTTTGTAATTTTTCCGTAAAACCGACAAGGGAATTTTTTTTGGGATAAAAATGTGTTCATATATTGTGACGTTGATGACGCTATTATCTTGTAAACAGAAATGATCTATTATCTACCACCATAATTATATCTATCTTATCTAATATTTACCTAGTATGTAAAATACCGACCGGCGCTAAATATAGAGCATGTTTGTATCTTTAAATTATGACGTTGTATTCGAGAACAAAAACAAAGCCTCAACACACGGGTAATCTTATATTTATGATGACATTTTTTGTGGATATTTTCATTGTAGCTGATGCCATGACTTAAAAACATATTTTAAATAAAAAAAAACACATTATTATAATGGTTATATATTATTAATCCATTGCACAAGCAAAAATAAAAATGTCAGTAGATCAATCAGAATGGTCTATCCATGGTCTGGTGAAATCCGGACCCTCTTAATAGTGAAGATACACTTCAGTGGGTTTCATCAGGTAGCTCAAATTCGTTCTTTGTCGTGGTTCGTGGTAGGTCAATTTAAATTTAAATGAGGAAAAAAAGGATTGTCTGCCCAGCCTAGACTAATCTTAATTGGTCTACTGATAGTTGATTTGTTCTTTCAGATTATTCAGAACTTAATTTTGATATAGGGGAAGGTGGGGGAATGGCGGACGCCTAAGCGGAATCACAAATAAATCTCAAACTATTAACAATAATCAGTCTGTTTTTATTAATTATTAAACTATAGTTGTTTACCTATCAAATCAACATTAATTATTATATGAGATCAATCAACATTTATTAAATTTTAATAAAAAGCAAAAATATGTATGTCCGTAATTACCCTTAGCTCTTGGGGTAAATACGGACCAGTGCTGGGTTAATTGCAGACAACATGGGGTATTTACGGACGAGGTCCCATTTCATTTGCAGAATTCACAAACGTAGCCTCTTGAAGAAGACCCAGCACTACAATTCTCATGTGCCCAATTCTGACATTCTGAACACATAATCCAGTCTTCGGTGGGTGGATCACAATACTTTTCCAGGCAATAAATGCAGAAATATTCATAATTTTCTTTATCACATTCAAAATTATTTAAGTTTCTTAAACCTTTTGGTCGTTTTTCTTTAGTGTTTTTTGGTTTTTATTAATAGTAGTTTTGGTCTTTTCTTGTTCCAGGTTCTTTCTCTTTCTTTTTAATTTCTTTTGTTCTTTTTGCTCCAGGTTTACTTTTTCCGGTGTGCTGGTGAAAATAATGGAATGTTTTTTTTTAACTAATCGTTTTGTATGAGTAGGTTTTAGAGTTGGTACTTGCACTACAGCACTAAGTGGTACTAAGGGAGATGGAGAAGTTGTTATACTTTGATTTACACTAGATTCATTAATATCACCCAATAATGCAGACGTAGGTATTGTTTCGTTTAAATCGTCATAGCTAGCCGCATATTGGAAAGTTCAAATATTTCCTGAGAATTTTTTGGATTAGAAATATTTTCGTTGACAGCTTCACAGTCAACTTGAGATTCATTCTGGGACTCAGTTTGGCATGAATTATTGGTATTTGTCTGTATCTGTTGTTCAAGAGGAGAAACTGAGGCTAAAATATCACCAAAACTTTCAAAAGTGTTTTTAAATTTATCTTGATCCATTGGACAAATTCCAGCAGACTTAAAGCCATTTATAGCTTTGTCAGTACTTGTGGTTCTATTAAAAGCCTTCGTATAAAGGCCTACAACATCATATACCGTAATTTTGGTGCCTGGATGGTTGACCATGAAGGATTCACATTCTCTGTTATATGCTGTTTTTAGCGGGCCATGGAAAGTTAAATCTAAAGGCTGCATTCTATGAGATGTGTGAGGTGGCACAGTTAAAACATGAATAAAATTCTTGCGACAAAATTCGTGAGCTCTTAAACTAACGTGGCTTTCATGGTTGTCCAGTATTAGTAAAATAGGGTCATCTGCAGATGGTTTTGCAAATGCTTTGAAATGTTGAAGCCAATCAACGAAAATTGATTCAGTTATCCAGCCTGAGTCAGAAACACAAGCCACCATGTTACTATTACTATCCTTCATAAGCAGTGCATTCATTCGCTTTCTTTTAAATATGAAAAATGGGGGAATGTATGTGCCTTCAGCATTAAAGCAATTTGTAACTGTGGTCAAGGAACCACGTTCTGCGCTGGTACATTTTCCTACTTGTTTTAATCCTTTCGGTGCGAGAATCCTGGAATTTCGTTGCACAGTACTAATCCCCGTTTCATCAACATTGTAGATTGAATTTGACTTAAATTGGAATTTCATCATGAGTGTTTTTAAATTTTCAAAAAATATATCTGTTTCTTCTTGATTAAATGCTGTGTTTCTATTGATTGAAGTAGCTTCTGGCTTTCGAAGTGATATGTTGGGGTGTCTAGCCATAAAATTATAATACCAATCTATACCTGCCATTTTAGTATCTTTATTGAAGTCATTTGCTATGTTATTAGCAGCGGCAAAATCAAATGCTATTTTTCTTAGGGTAGGAATTGTTATCCCAAAGAAAGCTTTGCAAGATTTTAAAATGAATTCGACCAGTTCGTTTTCTTGAGATTCATCAAAAACTGACTTCCTACCTCTTTTTGGCATGGTACTAACACAGACTTTTTTCACTTGATCAAAAAGAGTCGCCCTGGGAATACCATACTTTTCTGCCGCCTGTCGAAAAGGAGTCTTGTTCTCTTTAATTTCTTGCACAGCTCTTTGTAGAGTTTCAATGGTGTAAGCTGGTTCTTTTTTCTTAATATATTTTCGAGGCATCTGGAATAAAGAAATATTACTACAGGTTTTGATAAATAATGGGGTAATTACGGACGTCCGTATTTAACCCAGGCCATTTGTCCGCAATTGACCCAAACGAGTTAGAAAAAGTACAACATCAAAATTTTTAGGTTAACAAAATTTATCAAGGCATACGGTTGTGTTATTTACTCGTCGTTAACACCGCAATCGACAGAAAATATGACTTTTATACTGACACTTATTATTTTTGAATAACACTCAAAATAGTAAATACCAAAAATTACATCAAATACACAAAAAATGAAAAATTGCAATTACCTTGAATCGAGCGTGCAGCTGTCTGTCGGGAATGTTTGGTGGACACTAAAAATGGCAGGACGAAACGCGTGATCGCGGCGGCGGGACGCGGGCGGCAGAGATAGAGTAGATACATGTTAGTCCGTATTTACCCCGCGTCCGCGATTCCCCCATCGTCCCCTATCAAAAGGGTCATCAGACATGCGGTGGAGGAAATGGTGTAAAGATAAGAATTTATAGATATCTACATTGTAAGGATTTTTTTTATATGGATCTGTAGTCTGTAGAAATATATATGATGTAACTCGCCACTAGAATTACCAGAGAACAGAAAAAGGAAAACTCGGCTTCCATCGGCACAGACACGCTAGAAAACCGTGCGCCAAATAAGGGGGAAGGAAATCCAGCAGGGAAAGCTCCACACCAAGCCTCCGTTCAGGCTAAAGGCCATCTTCACAACGGAGGTTCACGTTCATCAGAAATTCCTCCCAGACCGTCGTCGGAGACGTGCAAAGACCGCTTCTGTCTGCCCCTTTAGAGGAGAGAGATGCGCTATTAGGATATACATCCCCTCTCTAGCTCTTTCACCTGGTAGGTAGTAAAGACATATTTCTTCATACTTTTTCATTTTATAAACGAGATTGTTGATTAGTTTTTCTTACGTAGGTATATTAAGACCTTAGTAGGTACATATTAATTTCTAAATGTGTGAAGATACGAAATTAAAAATAAATGAAAAAACAGCTTTTGATTTCGATTTTGCGCAATCCGTCTTTGCCCTCCTACTGATTGAACTAATAATTTGATCTCATTGCTTATTTATCTTTATACTCAACCATAATAAAAGGTATTTATTTTCTTATAACATAAAAAGCAAACTTACCATTGAAAAAAGGTTATTTTACTGATTATATGTAAAATGAATAAAATACCTACTTCATTGCCTTTTATGCATTGGCTCTATATTTTATTTCTTGATTTTCAACTGACCCGTTTAATTGATATTGTAACAGGCAATAAAAAATAAGTTTTTATCAATTGTTTGTAAATATCACCCCTGACTGACCTAAGTAAGTCAGGTAGTTCTTTCAACATTTATATGTTTACATAAAACTCGCAATTAAAGCTTTATAGTAGCCTATTATATCTGTTTCTACGGAATCGAATCTTATTTAATTGGAATGGGTGTACGAAATGCCGCACTCTCTGGCCATGACTTAAGACGTAATTTCAGACATCTAACTATGTTATGGCGATATTCGTTTCTTTTTAGTATACATTGACATCTTTTTTATAAACGACAAATTACCTGTTGCACAAACCTTCCTGTTGTACCTGTACCCACAAACTATCATTAAAATTGTCATTATTTTCAAGCAACATTACCGATACAATTTTTTAAATTAAGCTTAACGTTTTAAACCCTAATGAACGTTTGTGCAACGGGTCGTAAATTGGTAATATTGCTGTCAAATCCATAATCATCATTCTTTATTACTCGTCGTTAAAAAAAATAAATGTCAAAGTAGTAAAATAAACGAAATGTCTCCCTAACATCGATAACATGTCATATCCTGATCAATCAACATCGATAATTCAACAATAAATATTCATCGCCATCTTTCATTCATTTCATATTCATTTTACATGTAGAAATTTATTTATTCACTTGACATTGGCAGAATTGTGCAAAATGCGCAGATAAGCCATTAATAAAAGAAGAAGAAGATGTCATATCCTATGGTTAACTCTCTAGAGAGTTACGCGATAGAACCCTAGGTCATTAACATCGACGTTACCATAACCAACACTTCAAAGCGATCTTTGAGCGTAACAAATAGCGTAACTATTTGTTCTACCGTTGATCCCGGCTGCTTATGGGTCGTCGCTAATACTGTCCATTTCGCATTGGGCCAGCGTGGAGGGTCATGGCCGATGGGCAATGACCAAAGGAGGATGTTCCTTAAGCGTTCATAAGGAAGGCTTGAACCCCTGGAGTGGGCACGTAAAAAAGCTGATGATAATGATGACGTTATGTCGATGATTGTCATAGATGTCGATGATGATTATCACGTGTAAACTATGTTTTGCTGTTATCTATTCATAACACAATGATATGTACAGAACACTACAGATCTTCATATACTTAAATTACAAATGAATGGAAAGATAGGCGCAAATAAAAATAAAATATTATGAAGAAAGTATAAGAAACGCAAGGATTAGGTACAACTTTACTAATCAATTTTTTTTTAAATATGTCACATAAAATGTCCGGTTGATCTATTTACTGAAAACAATATATATATATTTATATATAGAGTAGCTCGGTGGCGCGGCCCGCGATCTTTGTCCTTAAGCAACTTTCGCAAGGGTCGGTCACGGGATGGGTGACCAAAAAATTAATATCTCGAGCTACTCCGTGCTTCGGAAGGCACGTTAATCCGTTGGTCCCGGCTGCATTTGCAGTCGTTAATACCCTCCAATCGGCATTGGGCCAGCGTGGTGGGTTATGACCCATCCTCCTTAACCATCCATAAGGATGAGCCGTGGCAGGCCTGCAGTGGGGACGTAGAAGGGCTGATGATGATGATGATGATACATATATATAACACTAGTAATACACTTTCTGTTGGCCCATTATAATATAAATATTATATGATAACTGTAACGGTTTTAAATTTTTGGCTATCCATCCGTTGATTAGCATTGGAGGCAGTTAATTGGTTTTCGCCAGAGAAGCCAAACACGACGAAGATTTCTCATGTTACTTCGATATATAGTATACGTATGCATATATACGCAATTGAATTGAACACTCGTACAATGTATATGACGAACGAGTATAAAGTACTACTTCATATTCGGCACTTACATCACGACATAATTCACGGAAGTAAAAAATATTTAAGATGATTTAACTTACCTTTGCGGATATAATCAAAACTGTCAAACCACAAGAACGACACCACATGCAATGACCATAAACCGAATTTCTTCTGACCTTTTATAGAGGCCGTGACGATATATATGAATTTTCTAATAAAACTTTAAATCACTTTTGCAACTTTTAACACAAAAAGTTTCGTAACGCAATTATATTTCCACAGTACAGTCCGAATTTATTCTGGCCGCAACAGTGTACGCGTGAGGAAGACAAAACGGGAACTTCAGTACTATAAGATTTGGTGTAAACATGTTTTTATTAATAGCAACAGACATTATGTTTTATCTTAAACTACTTTTTATCTAATAATGACCTATGTACTACAAAAATTCAGTTTCACTGAATGTAAACAAACCAATTGGTGTCATCTATGTCAGCAAAATGTCTGTTAACATAATCTTGTTGTGTTTACTGTGGAATTATCACTGTATCACGCAGCCCTTAAATGCCCTTAGATGTAGTGCTAGAAGAAAAAATCTAAAAATAACTTGAAGTTTTAGGAGTTTGTTTTCGCACAATGACTGTCTGTTCTCCTTAGAATAGTGAAGTTTGTCGATCACATAGCCAGAGAAGCTCACAATCTTGAAGAACTCGCTGTTATTGGCAATGTTGATGGCGAACGACCTTAGGTCCGCTCTACCTTGAGGAGGAAATAGCTAAACATACAGTATCAACTCCACCAACATTTTTGGAGACAATAAAGATCACTAGAAAGAAAAACATAATTAATAGCACTGTTAAAATTTCTAGATTATTACAGAATAGCAATGATTTAAATAAATAAAGCTGATCAAGCGAGTCTGTAGTTGACACTGAAGGCATTCAAACCACGTGAAGACGATTTTTGGTTTGGAGATTCGATTTTAAATCATTATCAAGTGTTCTGTCTCGAGGACAGGGCTGTACCGGTCATCACGCGCAAATAGAAAGTATTTCTTTATATAAGCGGGGTGGACATGACATATTGCACAGACAGTCTGTGAACATTAATAACATCATTACATATATCTGTTGCCATGTGAATAGCACGGCAGAGCGCGGATAACCAAGGTCTAGGTCGAAGCTCTTAGTGACGTACGACGACTTGTCTAACACCACTCTTCTGAAACTGAATAAAAATGAGTCAGACTTGGATATATTTGCAGCTAAAGAAGGCACTTAGCCTATATGTCCCTATTTATGGCTGGTTGAAAAAGTAGTGTGGAACATTATACAAAATTTAAAACAAAGAGTGCACCAGGCTGGGACGAGTGATATGCTTCATTTAAAAAAAAATGTAGTCAATATCTATGTGAGCCTATCGCCCATTAGTGTAATGTAAGTTTCGAAAGAGGAATATTACCAAACTTATTGAAGCAAGAAATTGTCATTCCTATTCATAAATCAGGTGATTTTACTTCCCTAAATAATTATAGGCCAATCTGTTATCCAATCTAACAAAAATCCTTGAAAAATTACAAAAGGTTTATGCTTTATTATGAAAAAAATTTTTAAATAACAATCAGTTCGGATTCAGAGCAAACAACTCCACTGAGGATGCTGTCCTTGCCCTAACAACAAAAATTACAGCTTACCTAGACAAAGGCATGAAATGTGCAGGTATATTTTTTGATTTGCAAAAGGCAATTTGATACGGGATTCTACTCCTGTGCTTTTAACACGACTACATAATATTGGCATCAGAGGAGTACCTCATTCTTGGTTTAGTGACTATTTCTAACAGAACTCAGAAAATACGCATCGATCAGCATCCGAGTGAACCAGTATTTTGCAGTTATGGAGTCCTCAAGGCAGCATTCTTGGAACTAGTCTATTTTTAATGTATATTAATTACTTATGCCAAATTAAACTGTCTATTACGGATATGCTCATGTTTACTGACGATACTGTCATATTATTTAGTGGATCAAATTGGGATACTGTACAACATCTTGTCCAAATGGAATTTTGTAAAGTCACTAATCGGCTAGAGAATTGCTTACTTACCATCAATAGTTCCAAAACCAAATGTGTATGTTTTTACAAGATAGCTCAATCTGCACCACTTAAGAATTTTTCCATTACCATACTACACACTCATCCGTGTAACTAAACTTCAAACACTGATTGCGATTGCTCAAAATTTGAAAACTTAGCCAGCATAAAGTATCTTGGTATTTACATTGACAGCAAATTGAACTGGAGCAAACACATATCTACTTTAGCAAACCGGCTGAGACGTTTTATATTTGTGTTCAAAAACTCAAAAACCATTTTAAAACTTGAATTGCTGATACAAATATACAAAGCCCTGTTTCATTGCTTAATCAACTATTGCATCTGTTCATAGGGTGGTGCTTGCAAATCGTTCCTTATAAAAGTTGAACGTGCACTGAAGGTTACTCTTTCCTTACCTTAAAGGCACCCTACGATTGATGTATACAATAAAATAGAAGTTCCTAAAATAGACCTCCTTTAAATGTAAACAAAAGACATCATTTATTTAAATTATCGTTAGTTAAGAGTGTTTTTGCTAAACACCACTATAATCTCCAAGGTCCTCGTCCTTATAAAAAAAATCATCGAGGCTGTCAAAATCCAAACGGCTAACCCTTAAATCATAAAAGCAGAAATATTTAAATATTATCAAAGCTGGCTTAAGCCAAATGTAATACTTAGAGAGCATTAACTCCTGACATACGGGGCAACCTAATTTGGGAGACAGGGCAAATTGATTTGTTACTATATGTCAATAAATTACTCAATAAAGAATTATTATTATTGGTCTAACTGACATAATATTTTTATAATACTTTCGAGATCTTAGGATACTATGGGCTTACTGTTCGGCATTCTGAGAATGCCCGGTTGGATGAAGATTAGGCATACCGTTTATTTTTACTATGATTGCAATTCTGTCACCGCACAGATTTGGTGGACTAGTAGATGACACAGGTGGACAGAAGCAGATAGCCCCGGGACAGGAGCGGATAGTCCCGTTTGAGTTACAAATAATTTTGAAAGGTTTATGGTTGCCACGGAGTTGGATGAAGAGCTCGCCTTTCTGTCACCACAGTATTTTTGTATAGCACATTTGCTAATTACTATAATTTTCATTTGCGGACATCATCGTCGGATCAATACAAATAGTTTTTCAATCAATTCAATAAGTCTCAATCAGTTAAGTAATTGAATGTCCAAATGTAGATGGCTCAGCATGTCGACAATTACAAGAGACTAGAATACTCATATCCCTTCGCATTATTGGATGTCCCTAAATTCAAAACCTCTGATATATTATGTTGTAAGTTTTCACAACAATTAATAGGATATAAATAGACGCAATAATTAACATAATATAAATATCCAAATCAATGGATAACACAAACAAAAAGTTTGTATTATCTATTGATTAGGTCGTCATATCATACAATTCGAATAGGTATTTGCCATTAAAATACATTAGATCGTTCTTAATATTTATCTAGATTGATTCAGTGTTGGTATTATTATGTCACGGCCGAACATTATCATGCAGCTAGAAACCAATAATATGATTGCTTTTTTTAGTCACAATAAATAAAACTTCTGATCCACTGATTAATTGTCTTACATCCAATTGCACAAACGTCTATTAAATTTGTAGTTAGTTTAAAGAGACATTATCGATACAAATCTTCAAAATAACATTCGTTAAAGCTTAATGTTCTTATTAAATCTAAAACTACGAAGTGTAAAAGAGTCTAACAACACAATACTTCTGTGGTAAAAAGTTATGAAATCAACTTAAACCAAGTCGGTTAAATTAGAAACTATCTTTCTGTGGGAGCAGATATCTGTTTTCTTTTCTGGTATTATATATATTATCTTGAGCCTCAAGTATGGGCTTTCTTAAAGATCACTCTCTTTACCTTTTAAAAATACGTTGATGTATCGGTTCTCCATAAATTTGCTTGGATATTTCCAAAATTTTTCGGAGAGTATTATTGTCCTTATATATAAATTTACTATTTACTCTTTGGTAAATAATTTTTTGTATGAGTGCCTATGATCCAAGTTCGTATTGCATATATGTACTTTATTCTGTTGTATTGCTAAACAATCAAAGGGTAATTAATGTAAACAACACCAATGTGTTGTTTAAATGATGATGATGTATGATGTGATGATGTATGCAGATGTTTTCAAAATGTTATATAGTTATAAAAAAATTGAAAAACTTAAAAATGGGATAAATATTTCATAATGTTTTTGTCCTTACTTTGTATGCTAAATAGTAACTGTGTTCAACATTTGGAGTCTGTGAGTCTGCTAAAAGTACTTTAGAATTTTGATGATCTATGAGTCAGTCAATGACAAAATTATGGATTTTTTTAAGTTGCAGTAATTCTTAAAATACTTATTCAAATTTAATGTTATTTAGAAATGTGCTTCATTATGTGCTGCCCTCTTGATCACTGATATTTTAAGCTTCTATATTACTCTGCAACGAAGTTACAGGGGATCAAAAATTGGCCGAATGGCTTCGAGAAAAGGATGGTACGGCCGTGCCCAGATTATTAATTTTTGGCATAAAAAAGTTTGTTTTGCATCTCTCCTGTCCGATCTTCACCATACTCCACGTTTCCTAATATTACTATTACTGATAGAATGTTTCAAATTTAAAACAGAGCTAGTCGTCATAAAATCTTAATGAACGAAGATATGGAAAATCGTTCAGTGACCGAGCGTACTCGCACAATGTGATCTATGTAAACTTCATATTATTTTCTTGTAAAGCAATTATTCAACTTGTAACGTTATAGATGTACCTGAAATAATAGGTTAGGGAAAAGTTTCTTTACATTTTATATAAACTTCTTGCCTTAATCTCATCTGTTGTTCGCAGAATCGATGATCTTGTCTCGGGATAACAGCTCATAATGAATAATGCCCTTCCAATCCCACCATACACGTAGTATCATCTTATTGCGAGTTAACCTGGATTTCGCCACAGGCTGTGAAGCCTGACCGACCTTTGACCACGACCTTCTTCGCACGATCTAGTCGTGCGTGATCCACTATTCATCACCAGTTATCAGCTTCTTCAAAAATGGTTCGGTTTCATTACGCTGTAATAAAGAATCACAAATTTCTTCAATAGGTACGTCGTAACTACTGATATGCCGATCTTACTCCACTTTTTCCAAAATGGCATCAATTTTATTCATTACCGGGTGACCGGAGCGACGTATATCTTTGATATCAAAATTTCTAGACTAAAAATGCTTTAACCAAATTTGTGCTACTGTCACAGAAACTGCACTAGGTTCATAAACGTCACATTTTTTCATAACTTGCGTTGCATTTTACCATTTTATATGAAAATGTTAAAATATATCGAATTTCTGCATTAAATTCTCCGTTTGACAGTAAGTGTAACAAATGAATATCACACATTTTCTTAATTATGCAGCCTTTATTAAATTACCGCTTTTATTAATAATGTTTTTCTGATTATTGTTCTCTGACATTAAATTAAAACTACTTATCTAAACTATTTCTTAAAATAA